GAAGAATTCAGATTAGAATTTGGCAGAACACAGAGTGGATGCGCCTGCACCGTTGCAAACGATTTTGAGCCATGGTTGAGAATAATCTTCAACTGTTTAAACGATAACAGTTTAAAGCATACCTCATTGTATACACCACTCCATAAACTAGTACGACAAAGCACTATGTTCTTAGTCACTAAGCTATAAACGTCAGACTAGACGCTTACGTATATAATAATTGTATCTTGCTTATTTATGTTCAACGCGAATCAATCATTTAATAGAATTTATGTTGTCACACAAATATTAAACCGAAATGAAAGTCGACAGAATTTTGTAAGACATTTCACATACTTTCCAGAATCTTCAACACTGCAAGAATAGCTAACATGTACAATACATAGACCGTTTCTAAGATAGTTAGTTACCTATGACATCTAATTTCAACTGCCAGGAATGATTCACTTCAATTTATGTGGTTAAATTTAACATCATGAAAATTGAACTTGATATTTTTATGCTAAATAGCATCTCAGTCTTGTACACAGGCTTGTGGGATTTATAGTCAACCATTGAACTTTGTGTTCATCTATAGTGGACATTCAGTTATAAATTTTGATCAACCTAGGCTGAATATTCATCCAGAAAGCAAGAGTTCGATATTGACTTTTAGGTAAAGATTGTAATATATTTAGATGGTAACCAACCAATTGAATATTTATTTTAACACGTAGATATTGGTACAAGGAGGCACTAAATACATATGCGCCACACAGATCTTATTTGATATGTGTGAGGGATGTGATACTGCCCAGGTGCCCAAACCGAAGCAGGTGGTTTTCTTAGGGGGCCATATCCGTAGCCTTCGGCATAAAGGTCTGATTCAAAAGGCAGTGGAGCATCGTAAGGAGATGCAGTCCCATGGTAGCCGGTGACCAACAATTGGTTCATACGCCATTTGTTCCCTCAGGATACTGGAGCCCATGTGCACCATTGGTTTGGAGTCAGTGTTTTCTAACTCCCTTGGTGGACTCTCCATGTCCATCAACCCGGTTAAAGCGTCGGACATCCTCTTTTCGTCCTCTCAATTCCGTAAACAACACCACCGCCACGAGAAGGCAGTGAGTAGGACTTCCCTGGCAGATGCTATATACGCATGACCATGTGAAAGCATTTGGAGAGGAAGAGCGGACTCTTCCCACTCTCGGCCGTACGAGAGCATTTGGGGGCAACCAATTGAATATGACACCACACATATGTTCTGGATTTCACTACTAATCACACTTCAAATATAATGATGATTACCAAATTTGTTTTTTTTCTTCAAAATCCAAGTTAACTGTTCACAAGTTCCCTACCTGATTTACTTCAACAATTTATTGATACTATATAGTGGTAATTACTATCTATTCGGAAAATACAATTTCTTAGACACTTGTATTTCACTAATATAATTGAATATGTTAAGAATTAGATTACAGTAGTAACTAAATTACACAGTTGTTTAGATCACCACCACTTAACAGTTTCATTGATTCATACCACCAACTGATTAAGAATTAGAATATTTACGCAAGTTAGAAACAAATATTTGAAAAAAACCGGACAATCCACCATCATTGTATCATAATGATTATAGGATATTAAAAATATAACCATGATGGTAATATAAATGATTTAAAAGTGACCTTAAACAAAGTACATACTATAAACTGTTGTTATTATTATGAAAAACAATGCATGGTCACTATAAATTGTCTGATCAAATATTATGTTATTTATTATTGAAATTCTACCCTTAAATATAGAACATATTGATATATATGTAGTGTGTGCTACTTATATTGACATAAGTAGTAGATGATGTTAGTCGTGAACAGACTGTCTGACAGCAGAGAGACAACAGGATCGAACAGTAAAGAATGGAAACAGAATGCAATTTGTATGAAAATGCAAGGACAATGTATGAGTCAACCTTTATAAATTATCTATTCGACTACTTCTATCTAACGTGATCTAAACTATTTGAATACTGAAATATTAATAAAAGTACATCATCAAAAAGAAACCCAAATGGAACAATCATAATGTGATATAGGCTATTTATAACTGTGTACAGATAAAAGTAGTATGTAACATCAATCAGAAGTGAAATGCCTAACAGCAGAAAGTTGAGAAAATCGATTTGAAAAGAATGGGAACATATAGTTATTTTCATGATAATGATGGAACGATGAAATTTGAGTTGATGAAGGATTTGTAAATGAAGCATCGAACGTATGGTTGTCACATTTTATGAGAGAACTCTGTAACATTGTAATAAACAATAGATTGGTTTTTCTCATCTCAGTTGTCGTTCATTATACTATCCTACACCATGAAGAAAAGTCAATGAATATAGAGTAATTTTCTACATAACAAATAGATATTAAGGGCAAGACGCTTGACTACAGTTAACTAATTAGCAAAAGAATGGAAAATACTTTTGGCTGAGAATATGGAGTTTGTTCTCCACAACTACTTCAAATTAAAGGGATAACTTATTTCATCCTAGTATGGGACCACTCAGTAAGGATTAAACTTAGGACCCTAAAGTCTCGCAAGAATAAAAATATTTCAAAACCACTTGTTATTGTATAGTCTACGTGCCTTGTTTTAGTCGATTACTAACCATCATCTATTGTCCTTAGTGACACATCTACCTCATTTCTGATACTGGTGTGGTAATCTAAAGGTATCTGACTCATTATGCGACCTGAATAGTATGCGTTTGATCCTTGAATAAGCCGTAAGTGTAAATTGATCATGTACATCAGAAGTTGAAGAATCTCCGCAAATCAAGTATGTTTACAAATCATTTTTTACATTTACATGAACTTGTCTACGAAACTGTTGTCGATGATGAAAAAAAGAGAGACTTTTTAACTGCCTTGTCCAAATAAACCACGTTATATGTATCGATAAAGAAAACGAAAAAAATCCAGATGAGTCCCATATGCAAGATATTGATTAACGTTCAAAACATTATTCTAAGCCCAATTGATCAATGTATACAAAATAAAAAGAGAGAACAACGTTAACTGATCCAATGCTCATTGGTCAATATCAAAGATAATTACTAGGAATGCGCACAGATAAATGAAAAGAACAAAATCTATGAAGAATATAATCAAGGACGGGAGCATGTTATTCATAGAGTGAATTAGTTGAGCTTTCTTCTATGATGAATTAAGCATTGATGATATTTACCACAAAAGTCAATTAAGTTATCCTAATTAAAGAACACAAAGAGAATCAAAATTATCATACTACTACTACTACATTGAAAATCAACTATTCCATACAAAATAAACAACAGCCCAGTCCATATATATATATATATATATAGAAAGAAGTATAATCCGTTTAAACTTATCAACATATACATAGTTGTATATATACAGATTACAATACAATGGCCCAGGACAGGGTTGGATGGAGAATGCTGACGAGCGGCCTATGCTGCTCCTTCACGAGGAGTAACAGGCGTAAGTAAGTACAATACAACGACAAAAAACCATACAGAACAACAACAACAAAAACAAAATCTAAAAGAATAATGCCGAGTACTTTGAAATTACAAAGGTAATCATCCTTATCATTTAAAATTACATATAATTACCTTTCATTTATACAATTCATATAGTAACAATTCATATAGTACAATTCATATAGTTAGCTACAAACATAGGACCAAGCACATATACAACATTTTTCCAAATTATCATACCTTATTAACACAACAAAATAAACAAACATTATATTCATAGAAGTAGTTACTTCGAAACAATGAGAAGAATTACTTCAATTATGTCATAAAATGAATACAACACATTATGATTGTTTGTTTTGTTGTCCCTTCTTTTTTAAAGAAAAAAAATGTCACAACAAGACTGAATGAATATTCCCCACCCCACCACCACTACCAAAAAATGAAGAGAAAAAAACCTAATAATTTCCTATAATTCGTTGATAAATAATTATGTAACTAACTAAAGTAACCACTCGAATGGGAAATAATGAGACAGAACAACAACAACAACAGACAAACAAACAAAACATTCAGTTTATAAAACAAAAGAAAACATCTCATTATTATTTGTCATCTTTTAAGGCGCTTCTTCATATACACCACACACACACATACACAAAGAAAAGGTATAATTGACAAACACTTTAAATAAACTACAATTTACAGTTTAATAATGATTTTTTCTTTGTTTAAAATGACAAATGAAATAAATAGATCATTATCACAGGGATCAAATGTAAACTTTATCAATATAAAACTGCTATGATAGACATGAGATAATTCTGCCTTTTTTAAAGAACCAAAAAAAACAAAAATAATCTCTTTCAAATCAACCACATCAAAATCAAAGATAAACCAGAAGAGTACAACAGTTAAACTTATGTATATATACATACAGATATAATATGAAGATGAATAATGAAACTTTATAAGTTCACTAAATGATACTAAATGTAATTGTTATTATATTTAAGACTATTGTTATTGTATATAAAACATTCCAACATGAGTCAGTCAGTCAGTAACAACGTATAGCTTCGTACGTACGTACGTACATCAGTTCGAGTTGCCATATCACATTACACAAAGATACAGTTGTCGATTCAAATCCCATAGTGAAATAGGTAGTGACAGTATAAGCAGTAATCGGAAAGATTAGAGTTTCGAAGATGTTATTCAACAAGTATAATACAGTGAAATAAATTTGGAAAGAAAAAAAGAAAAGGGACCTAGTGAATAAGGAAATTAAAAGTAAAACAAAACATTGATTTAAAGAGAAATAAACAATATATATTACTTAATATATTAATGATAATAATAATGATTACTATTATTATCTTAGCCCCGGAGGGGTTCCAGGCGGAATCAGTAGATGGAAACAAAATGAGCAACAATAGGAACAAGGACGACAACAGCAACAATAAAGTAGAAAAAAATTACATAAATTAAAAAAAAAAAGAAAGAACACAAAAACTATGATGAATATTGGTGGTACACATATGAACAACAAATAGTCTAATTGAAATGTAAGGCTTTAATAAAATAATAAGAATTGAGCATGGATTTGTATTACCTATACAGAGATGCATGACAATCAACACAATTTAAACATTGTAAATGATTAAGGAATTCACAATGAAAATTTCTATAATGATATATATATGAAGAAATAAAAGTGCTTATGAAGTATTATTATTATGCAATATAACTAAGTATGGTTATCATTAATAACAGTTAATGGTAGAAATAATAATCTATACATTCTTGATTAGTTACAGTTATGGACAGTTGAAGTTGAATTCATCAATAGCACAGTATATAGATGCAGAAACAAATAAAGCAAAAGATATGAATTTAAATGGAAGACAGATTGTGACAGAAACACATCTTATATATATATCACAGATGACTGAAGCGTGTCAATGATCGATATTACACTGATTGAGTATCAGTTGATATTTGGGCAAGAGTCATTTGCTAATGACTGATTAAATCCAGGAGATATTACTACTTCTGTGGATGATATAACAGAGTTAGTAGTATTATTTGTTGTTGGGGATGAATCACACGTCATTATCGGTGCAACAGTATTTTCTGATGAGAACAGAATTTGTGTTCTTGGCGCCGTTACTGTTGTTGTTGTAGTCAGTGAAGTATCTGGTTCTAAATTTAAAAGGCATGTAGGACAACTAAATGAACGCATAAGCCATTCATCAATACATATACGATGATAAGTATGTAGACAGGGCAGGTAACGCACTTCATCTCCAAGTTTTAAATCATTCATGCATATAATACACCTAAAATAGTAATTAATAACACAATATATATATATATATATATATATATATATATATATATATATATATATATATATATATATATATATATATATAGTTCAACGGTTATTTATATAAAGCAATATAAAATTAGATTCAATACAAGTGATATCCGGTGGCACAGAACTCCTAAACCGACATTCACACGATAATTGTTAACCTAGTGCTGCAAATGTTAAATGACAGCTCGAATTCAGTTGGAACACATCACACCAGTCATTTCCTTATTAAAAACCATAAGCCTGGGATGAATGTGCATCGACTTAATTTCCCATACCATATAAACACACAGAGATGAGTTATAAAGACAACAGTCAGAGTAATAGCTGCAGCTCACATTGTTATCGTTTTTTTCTAAATCTTGTGTCTTAATGTTTAATAATTTTACCTCTTTACTTCAATTCTAACTTTTATGTTTAGCTTTTTATCATCAATGATACTGCTATTACGACCCCTTTGTTTCTCATCGTATTAATTGTCTTCCTTGTTGTGCTGCTGTTAAAAGTGAGAGCGTAAAATAATGAAAATGTGTAACCCAGTTGAGTCGCACTGGCCAAAACACTGGTTCCTTAAATTTTCAAGCACGCTAGGCATCATAGTCGGGAAGCATAAGCAGTAAATACAAGGTCTGATGGCGAAGTTGGACTTCAGACTGTACAAGAGGGTGATGACAGTAACGTCCTTTAGACAAAGTGTCTGTACCAAAAGTAGTCCGCCTGAACTTGTTCTACAGACTTTTTCGATAGACGTGAGGCCTTAAGATTATGGAGCTGACACTCCGAAAACTATTCCAAAAAGTTTAAGTAGCATCAGGCTTAGGCAGTTATTCATCTGACCATGTAGTTGCGCTTTCAAATCGTCCAGACTACTGCTAATCCAGTTCCATTTTCTGCCCTCTCAATAATAGTTATCTACCTGCATTGAAGAAGTGGGAAGTGTCAACCGCTCTCATACTTCTAAAGGTACTTGAGATGGATAATAAAACAAGAAGCGAAATAAGCACATATACATAAATTTTCTTACTCTCTTAATTTTTCCTTATTCACAGGTACATAATTTGTTAGAGGAAGAAATTGAAGCATGTGAATACGTTTAACAATTTGTATTTGTTCCTCCTCTGTCAGATCGGATGCAAGAATAGGCAAGCCTGGACTTATATGATAAATAGGCACCTGATGCTGTTATTTTCAATGAGAAAAAAAACGAACACAACAAAGTTAGATATAAAATAAATATGGTAACTTTGTGAGTTAACTAGATGACACTGAAGTGAAAACTCCCGACCATAGCAGCTACATTGACGTGGTGGTCGGGCTTGCCTATAGTAATCAATTAATCGAGCTACATTGTCTGTAACAATCGTTCCTCAAGGTCCTAACATGTCAGACATTTCGGTTGAAGAGCTGTAAAACTAAAAAAGTGGAGCCCAAGGTTCGAGGTCGAAGTCGTACTGCTGATTGTACAGAGGTGTGACGGCAGTAAGGTGTTTCCCCAGACAACCAGCATAATAGCGATGCTGCCTTCCCACAAGGAAGGGTGGGGTTAGAAAGGGTCGACCCTAAAAATGCACACCTAACCTTATTCCACGGATATGTCTCCGGCAGCAGGGTCTCAACAAGTACGGAGCTAACACAAAAATAACTTACGGGATAGTCGTGTGTGACTGACCTCAAGCAGATGTCCCTTGGGCACTGCGGTCACGTTCCCAGGTCACTAAGACCACCTCTAACACAATTTTCTTTTCAGGTATCTCTAGAAGAACCCCTCTACGGTTGGGGCAGCCGGGGAGCGATAACCACCCTCATACCTCTAAAAGCACTCAAGATCACTGACTGACTGAAGCAAAAACTAGAACACCAACTCATAAGGGATGAATGTGCTTTTACTGGTAATACCATGAGACAATAATCAATCTATCCCATCATATACAATAAACCATTCCTTTCCTCCTGGACTATATGTTAGATGTTACTGTTTTATATCTATTTGCTTCTTGTCTACTGATATTCTTTTAGCTTTTTTTATTTACAGTTAGAAAGCTCAAAGCCTAAGAACAAACAGAAATCCCGTGTTATACATGTCTTACCAACGAGTGATTAGAACTCCGAACCTACTTTCTAGTGAATTCAAATTCATATAACACTAGATAGTTATAGAGCGATATCAGCAAATAGCTAACATAAACTTGCAACCTCGTACTTAACGATTAAGTTTGAATCTGATACTTGTATAGGATGTGGAAAAAATGGGAAGCAAAAAACACACGGCAGTCCTATGTCAATATCTTTTATGAGGGCATTAATACACTTAGTACTAATCGAGAAAATTAAGCATTACGGATAAGAATTTAGATAGGAATTGACTGGTCACTTGGTTCATGCCGTCTTCTACAAAAGCGGATATCGAATATATAATGACGTGAATCATCTCCGCTGATCATCTTTTGATGAAATTTAGGGCTGACTTAAGGAAAGATTTCCGCACATTTTAGTCGTTTAAACTACAATAACACAAGATATAATTGTAAGCAATGGACTTGCATCTGTCCTAGGGCTTTCATCCTGATCATCTTGAGTTTCGTAAACCTCTTGATCCAGAAGGTAAGAACTTTCACTTCGAAATCCAAAACAATTCCCCATAATCTTTATGTTAGATTATGCATGTCCAGATCATAAGCGTGAAAACGAGGGATCAAACAACGCGCAGTGACCTTCAGTCTTCGGTAATAAGGATAGGTCTATCTACCGATATTAATCGTTGCAGTCTGTAACACTGTGGGGGGCTCCAATGTCGTTTTGAATATAATAACAGAATGTGCTGGTATTACGTGTTCTGGCAGAGAATTCCAGTAACTCATCACCTAATGTGAGAAACGGAACTCCAGACGTAGACTATTTGATCTCAGTTTTTGAACTTTCCCAGGATATCATTTCAAGTGATCAGTCCTAGATGGAATGAAAAGATAAGATATATTGATATCAAGGTCATCGTCCAGTATTCGATAAGCCAGTATCAGATCATCCCTAATCTGCAGTAAGTTAACGGAAATCAATTGAGGTATCTCAGTCTGTCTTCATGAGACAGGCCAGAAAGACGTTTTACCATTTTAGACCTTAGTCGTTGGACTCGTCTCAGTATATCCGCTTCATGCTTGAAACAAGGGTTCACTGTTTGAATCTTATATTCCAAAGTGAGGTTTTAAGAAAGTCGGGTGAAATAATCTAAACGTTTGTTCATCAAAATACTGAAAACACCTACGAATAGCCCATAACATCCTATAGTCGTTTGCAGCAGCACCCTTACAGATACTCGTAGTTTTGTGACCGCCGCTTATAATGACTCCTAAATCTTTATAGTCTATTACTTTGGGTAACATAAATCCACGTATTGCTCAGTGATACGAGTCATCATAGTTATTTAATTGCATCACCACACTCTCGTTAGAATTCACTTCTAGTGACGATCCGTCCATCTGTGCCACTTATGAGTTGCGATCATCCTATAATTCTATAGCCCAGTTTTCTCCTAACGATCAGTATCTTTTTCAAATTGTAATTTGTGTGTATTGAGAACAGAAGTCTAACGTCCTGTGTTACCAATTTTCTAGTAAGCTTCTATTAGCTTCTAGTGTCAACCAAAGGTGCAGCCAGCACTTCAACGGGTAGCAAGTTCCAAGAATCGGTGGCTCAATGTGAAACTTGTATACCACGGATACTTTGTTCGCTTTTGGATCCTGAAATCCTTTATTATTTCCTACAAGATGTCGTGACCTATAAGGAATAAATATAGGGGATATATTACGTCAAAAACCATCTTTAAGTGTTCTATACGTCAAAATCGGTTCAACTCATGAACTGAGGACGGACAGAGTAGAGAGTTGTGACTTCCGAAGCCGTCCTGTGTTTAGTGAATTCCAGAATTCTGTGATCACATAGATAACTATCCTCTGAATTTTTGCAAGCTCATTTAGTCACCTTTTAAATGGAAGCTTGCGGCCCGAAATCACTTATTAAGTGTGAATCTCATTAAAGCTATATAGTCGTGATGAAAATACTTGTATCGAACTTGATAAACATCCATCTTTATACAGTTTGATAACGCCTTTGTCTGTAAGACCTTCATAAGCTAAAGATAACAATCCGATCAAATCGAAAGTCAGGGACAAAAGAGTTCGTGAATGTATCTGAAAGGTTGTCAATAAGTTGAGAAGCGTTTGATCTAAGCTGGCTAATTGGTGTAATGTACACTTAGCTAGACGTAACCACTCGTGATCTAGTACGGCCGTGTGACCGAGCGTATTCAGCTAAGGTGCGTCCGGTAAAGCTAATGAAGCCAAGATCAATATCGAAAGTCAACAGAGCTATCCGTTTTAGAGAATCATCTACCTACATGGACACATAGGGTTGTAAACCCCTAAGCTACAACCGCGAGATAGTATGCTATTGTCTTAAGATCGGGACTCACTATTTTCCCAAGTGTTGCGAGACTTGAAAAAGGACATTGACATTCCTCAATGCTGTAGCTGATTATTGTTGCATTTCCAGTGTGCATATAGACACACTTATAATTGATGATAGGCCTCAACTATGTTTTAGACTAGCTAATCATAACGTCTAGGTTCACCTGGTGTGCACGTACACTAGCCTCCCACACTACTTCTCACAAATTCCCAACGTTATCAAAATAAAGTAGCATTGGGAACTCAGAGATACTCATTAGTACATTTACATACGGCACAAAAAGTAAGAGAGCCACAACAGGGCTTTGCGGTTTTCCCACAGCAACCGGTTTTCACTAGAAACATTTGGAATTTCTTCTTATGACCTACCAGAAAAATTTTGGTTCAATTTAGAAGAGGTTCGGTAATTTATGAAGTTTCCAACTTCGAAAGAAGTCTGTTTTGTAGAACGTAATCAAATACATGGCTTATGTCAATTTTGACAATACCAGCTTATTTCCTGTTATCACTAGAATCTGTCAAAAATTTCTTGTTATAAAGAGGTTAGTGGTGCAACATAATCCTTTCCTGAAGCCATATTGTTCACTGTTTTGTAAGTTGTTAGTTTCCGAAAAGACGTAATGGCATGGTATTCACTACGAAAGATGTGAGGCTGATGAGATCGTGGTTTGATGAAAGTTATTTAATGTGAGAGTTGCCTCCTTACAGTCTCTAGGTAACATCCGGTCAAACGGAATCTAGGACAACGTACTTAGCAGGTTAGCGAAATGTAGTGTAATTTATCTTACAATGTTTGAGTGTAGTTGACCACATCATGTCGATTTTTCTGTCTGAAGTGCTTGGTGCCAATAGTACGTCCGTAGTGAATTGCCAATTAAGTGATATTCGCTCTCGGGTGAGTTCTTGGTCTAGAGAAGGCTCATGAGTTAAGACTGCATTGAAGTAATCTAACATGACTTCTAATTTGCCCTGGCCTTCCTCTATGGTTTCAGAGACGCTTTTCAGTAATTAAATTTGAAATCTATGGGTGTGTTTTCATTCTGCAGTCGGTTCATGAAACTAACCACTTTAGTTGCTTCATCACAGACTGCGGCAATTTATTTTCATATTTCTTTTCAGTTGCATAGTTTATACTTCTACGATTTCGAACCGACTGGTAACATTCCACCGTACTTCCTGTCCAGAAGCTACTGGAGTCATTCCGGTGCCTTTTCGTTCGCCTAAGTGGGCGTTATATCTCACGGTCTCTCCAGGATGAGTGGGTCTTTCTTTCTTGGGACCGCTGAGCAACTTCGTCACATAGCCTCTAAAAGTGACTGCATGCCTCTTCCACTGATGCGCCTCAGTTCACTTTCCAGCGTTCAGCCAACGCCTCAGGATTGATCGCCTTTACATGCTCTTCATATACCAGATGAGTCACCGCGTCTGGTTGACGGACCATGTCAGCAATCAACGCTTATATGAGAAAAAGCAGTTTGTGAACGATAAAAATAATAATAGTAATACTAATAATAGCGAGTTGGCTTCGTGATGGCTTCTCTCAGAGGGTGAAAAGGAGTTTTTTTGATTAATATCACCGTGAGTGAGAACTAACTGAAGAATAGAATAAATGTGTTGTATATCTTATCTAGCGGGACCTGCAGTGTACTAAACCAAAGTTAGGGCGACTGATGTTTCTATCAATGAGTTGTTAGCCAGTATTACTGGCGATCTTGTGTATTGAAGTTGAGTTCGTTGAGGCTTCTTCACCTTGATCAAGATTTTAGAATATTTAAGAGGACGTTTCGTGTACACATGCAAGACTGCCACGTTCAAGATTTTGGTCACTCCCGCTATTGACGTACGGCTTATCGACTTATTTGCAACTTACGAACCCAAAATAACAATAGATCCGAGTTCAAATTTAGGCACCAAATTTTATTCGCAATTTACAAAGTCAACTTAAATGCTGTTCCAAAATAACTATAACAATTAGAAAGCGAAAAAACTCTCAAATAGCAAACCAAAGACAAAGAGAAGCCCAAATGTCCGAAAATAATCATATAAATAAACAAGTTCAAAGGTTGACTAAAACAAATACATTCAAAAACACAGTGAAATCAACGATATTCAATATAAAGGTTTTTAATCAACTAAATGTCTTCAGTTCTCCTGTAACAAAGACTACGGCAAACCACGACTTATTCCACGTCCTGCTTATCTTATTTCAGCTGATGCCTCACAAATTCATACGTCCTTGAGTCGTGTGTCACTCTCTCGACAGCTTATATGGTTCAGGTGCTTTCCAAGTGCATAATAACATAGCCTCCTCCGACAAAGAAAGACCTGAGTTCCTAGGAGTATATCAAGTTCCCTCATGGAGCATTTCTGAGAGTTGCTTGTACCATCTCAGCTAATAGCGAATTCCAAGATATGACTGTCCGTAAGGAAAAGGTTTTCATACACCTTAGTTTACTGAGATGTATCTTAAATTTTTGGTTATTCTCTCTAGGTTTTGTGTTGAGACTGGCCATAAGTATGCATTTTAGATGGTGTTCAAGTATGTTTAGAAATCCATAAGCCATTACAACATCACTACTGTGTCCCTTATATTTAAGTACTTAGGCCGTCGGACTGTTTTTGTGGCTTGTCTTTGGGTACGTTTTAGAATACTCTTGTCGTCATGCAGTAAATGAAAATACATTATATTTCCGTACTCAAAATGAGTCTGAATAAAACTATTAAAAACAAAATGGAAATGTACTTCAACGTTACCAGTACAAAATTTTCTCTAAAAGTATTTTTATCACAGTTTATGTGAGATTTAGAATATACGCTGTTATAAGAGAAATCCAAAATATTTAACCTACTACAAATTATTATTGTAAATACCATTTTGCTAGGTTTTGATATATCTCTTTCACCCAAGGTATGAACTTGATTTTTTCATATTTTGACCATGAACTTTTGATGTATATTATGCCTTTGGTTTAGTGTTTTGCTATATTTAGCCTGATAAACCAGAATGTTCACTTTGACATTAAAAGAATAATTTTTCTGTAAATAGTTACTTCATATCCATCAGCTTTAGAATATTAAAAGACCTGTATGATTGGGTGTATTTAAGGGGTATATTTCATCTATCCCCTCGTGAGATTGAGTATGGCGGTTCTTCTACCCACCACACTCAGCAAGCTGGAGACACAAGGGTAGCGATCCTTAAAGCAATGTTGCTGAGGCAAACGTATGCTCACTAATGACAAGTAGTCGCGTAAGC